TTCTTTAATACCAGAATGCGGAAAACATATGTGAATTTTTTATCATTTTTTTCCGATTTCAAAATCAGGGATAAAATTTATTTAGTTTTTTGCGTCAACTTTAAGGTTAAGCTTCACGAATTCAAAAAATTACTAAATTATTCTTCTCTCCTGGTTTACGAGGAGGGATGCAAATTCACCTAGGTGAGAACATAATATCTGAGAGTAGAAGAAAATAAAGGTTTTCCAGTTCCTTGGAATGTGTTTGAATGAGGAAAAGAAGCCAGAAAGAAAAATTCTTAAAAGAAAGGATCGGTGGAAAGAACGCATAAAAGGCTTTACTGTGGCATTTTCCTTAGAAAAAATCGAATTCGTTCCCCAATCATTTTTTACATCATCTTGAAAAGAAACATTCAGATACTTGTTCTCGTTCGCCGTTTTTGAAGCTTTTCTGACTTCTTTTCGATACATATCTACAGTATTAATTCCTGGCGGACTCACAGTTCCCTTTTGAAGAAAAATTAGAATTTAGCTTGATTAGGGGTTATTCTTCCAATGTTGCTTCCCATCAGCATTAGCCTTGGCGCAGACGGTTGCCAAGGGCAACGGCTGCTGCTGACCCTTATGCTGCTCATTTAGCGTGCTTTAATTTTTCGAGGTTTGGCAATATTTTATTTGGTCAGAATCTCGTCTCCACATACCAACTTTCCTCATTCTGCTTTAGATATTTGTCATTCAATGGTGATTTCAGAAAATTGTATTGGTTCTGAAATTTTTCTAAAATGAATTTGCAGTGCAACATCTGTTATAGTGACTTCTTTTGGCCTGCCATCAGCAAAAATTCACTTCATTGGTTGTTAATAATTGGAAAATAGTTTAGCCATCATTTCTTCAAAAATTCTAGACGCTTTTACTGCTTTAGGTGCCTGCATAGTATCATAAACACATTTTCTGCTCAGTCTATTCTCATTATACACCTTATTCATTACGCTTAAATCATTACGTTTAGGACCTTACCTAGAGGTTGCACATTCTTTTTCAATGCAAAGGTTTCTGATCTTTCAAAGTTGTTGGTCAGAAAAATTGCGTTGAATCGGAATGGATAATTAGTATTCATATAAAAGCGAATAGCGATTTTGTACGGCAAATGTGATCGATTGTTTATTATTTTTTCCATAGAAGGTAAATTATTCAATACTTTTGAGATCTGTCACCGTAAAAAATATCTAATAGGATTTAGAATTGTAAAGGAGGCGCATACGAATCATTTACTTCTTTTTCATTTCTTCGAACTTTTTGCACTTGCTTATCAAATCAATTAGCTTGTTTTGAAGAGCTGCAATCATTTATACAATCGAAATTTTGGAATTCTCCGCAAAATTTTTATGAATAGAAACCGCAAAACGATCAGCCCCGTAGGGGACTCGAACCCCTGACCGTTAGATTAAAAGTCTAACGCTCTACCAACTGAGCTAACGAGGCTCCAGCAGCAAATCTCGGCGTAAGCACTGACTTTTTTGTTAAACTACTGGTCCTCCAGTACCTAAATCGTATTTTCGTATTCTTCCTTGACTGTTTCTCATAGTAACTATACTTTTCAGCTGGAGTTGACGTCACATGGTGATTAGACCCCCGATAGAGACATGGAGTCGAATGGAGCTGGAGGAAAATTTTCACAATGCTTATCAACAGTTGCAAGCTGCCCAGAAAAAAGTCAACGAACAGGACAAGAAAATCACCATGTACGGAATTTTGTATTTCTTGGCCTCCAAAGCAAATATCCCATTTGAGTCTGAATACTCGGCTGAGACGATCCGTGATGGAGCGAAAAGCAAAGCAAGACGCATATGTGGAGAGGGAAAAGTTCGAAGAATTAGAGCGCGAAAATCAAGTTTTGGCTTTGAAGGTACTGGACCACAATAATTTTTTAGTTTTTCACCAACTACAATTTTCCAGCTAAAAACTGTGAAGCACCAACTACTAACCTATACAACGCCAACAGCAAGACCCGCGACTGCCTCGGCGATGACTGTA